ATATATATGAACTCTACATCTTTTTTATTTTTGTAGTTCAAATTTCATTCCCTAATTTATGAAAGGTAAATGTAATCCAGGTCACTTTACTGGCTACGCTGGTGTTCTCCATGGAATTAGTAGTAGTAACTTTAGGCACACACGTACACATACCTGTCAAGATAATTCCTGACACACACACCCCGACAACTACTAAAACACATCTAAACTGGCATCAGTACAGTTCAGCACAAATTAATCAATAAAAATATGCAAACGGTAATGCGAAATTTATTAGGCATGAGTGCAGTACTTCCACCCTCTGTTTTTTACTTCAAATATTCATCCAGTGCAAAAAATGATTAATGGGGCTTACCTGGTTTGCGTCCCAAGTCTGTGATTTTACTGCGAACGTTGCTTTAACCTACGGTCCCCTTGGGTGTCCAAAGTGAAGGAAAAGGAATAGAACATGTCCTATTTTCTACAAGTATTTGACGACATCTGAAAATCAACAGCCAATCGCAGCGCAGAAAGTTCAGACCTTTGGGAAATTGTAGGGATCTGCATAGAAATAGATCGTGTATCAGTAGATCCACAGCATTTTTTTGAGTTTGGTAGTGAAGTAAAATACAAAAAAAAAAATTCCAAAAAAATTTCCACAGATTTAATTGAGTGCTATCAAGAGGAAGAGTTTTTTGCAAAATATCATCAAAGGACGACTTATCCATTCGGAGAAAGTTATTGTATTTTCCCTTATCGCCAGCATTCAACTCTTTTTAATAGACCATGATATGCTAAATATTTATTTCGTTTGTGATAGGATCCACGGCCTAACCCAAGTAGGTTTTTTTTTTCAATCTCTTAACTTTCTTTTCCATTTCATTTACCAAATATAGGCCTACAAGACTGACCACAGTAACTAACAAATTTACATCCATTCAACAAAAACTAAAAACGTCTGGGTGTTGAAATATCAAGTGGCCTAATTTTACTTGGCCTTAATAGAGGTTGTCTCTAATATTATGGGCTGACAAGTTATCAAACAATTTAACAGTGTGGCTAGGGAATATCAAGTGTCTACCTACTCCTGTCAAAATGAAAAAAACTGTACCAAAACTTTTTTATAAATCTGACCGCGTGACGCCAGCTTGACAGTACAGTACTATCGACCTACCCCATGGAGAGAGTTTAAAAAAAAAACATAATCTGGGTACAAAGTGTAACTACGAGTAAAACAAAGTACATAACGTGTGGATGAATAAAACCTAGGCCTGCTTGTTACCAGGATGGACAAAATCGGTTTGGATGATGTTGATATTAATGATAGAAAGAAGAAAAGTTTTATGAGTCAGCGTTTTATTGTGTATATAGTCTGTGTGGGTACATTTTGCCTAGGTCTGGGGCTTCTTCTTGGTTATCTTACGTTTCCTGAAACGCTACGTACTCAATCGAGCTCACCAATCGAAGGGAGTGAACAAAGAGATCATGAATGGGTTTCAGAAACTCTGATGAACTATATTGATGCGGCAGAGATCGAGGAAAACCTCAGGTAGACCAAAGTTTGATTAAATTTAGCGTAACACCAAGCCTAATTATAATAATAAATGAATATATATATATATATATATATATATATATATACAAATTAATGTTATTTATTATTAACACGTTTAATGACTTAAAATCCCCACTTTCAACAGAAATTTATTGATTTTGTACCTCAAGCAGACGGTTAATTGTTTTATTTCATTATCCAATCGAAACTGCATGCTTGTATACACTGATACAAGGCATATATAGATAAGTTAAAATAAATGATATTGTAATTATACACAATCAATGGCATATAGATATTTACTTTCGAGGTGTATAAACACACATTCATAATCGCACACAATAATAACACATTATTGTATAACCTGACCTGGTATGTATTTTAGCAAAAAGGTCTGTCTTT